ATGTACCCTTAGGCCCCCTCCTCGATTCAGAGATGGTCTTTCCCTTTTCACGTAAATGGCCTCCTTGACTCCACGGAGCAATAGATCTTTCAGCCCAATTCTATTTTTTCTGCATAATCCATCATACAAAATGTAATCAAATGGAAAAAGTCTCTTTTTAAAACTTGTTTTATTAGTTTTAATCTTTTAACTTTATGCATCAAGCAAAATTTACATTATACGCAACATTCTCTGACTGGAAGAAATTTGTTTAACATTTAAACCTATTTTCTGCACATTCCAGCATATAAAATAAAATATTTTTTGGGGGTTTACACTCACTCTTTCAAATAGATGCAAGTGAAACACAGCAGAAAATAAATAAAATCAAAGACTCAGCGGTCCTGTTGCTCTATTTTCACCTGTTTAGCAAGAGTGAGGCAGGCGGAGGTTTGCCCTGGTGCAGGTGTGCCGCAGCGGTCAGTGGAAGAATCTGTGAATTTCACATTCCCGTGGCAGCATACTCGGTGCTTGCTCTGAGGTTTAGGGGGTTTTTTCGCTGTAAAAATAAGTTGTCTTCCCACGCAGTGAACAGTGGACGCTAATGTTTTTGTCACTTTTTACAGAATCAAACTCAAAGTAAGGTCAGTACTTCCACGCATTAAACGCTGCACGGTCATACGCTCTCCCGCACTCGATATATTATCCATTGTTGATCTGCACACAGCTGTTGCCACGAACATCGCATAGCACACACGAACGTCATTGTCATGAGACACTCTCGCAAAAAAATCACGGCTTTAGTAACGCAGTAACGCAGCGTGCTTACAGGAAAGTAACAGTAATCTAATGACTTTTTTTGCAATAGTAATCCCTTACTTTACTCGCTACTTGAAAAAAGTAATCGGATTACAGTAACGTGTTACTTTTTCCAAATTTTTTCAAATTTTTTTACTGCCCATCTCTGGTGATAAGTGTTGGAGAAATTGTGGGGTTTGGGGGGACCAGACGCATATCTTTTGGGACTGTGTTTGCATACAACAGAGCTGGATGGATGTTAAGAACATTATACAAAACATATTGTCAGTCAACCTCCCAATGGATCCTCTGATCTTTTTTTTGGATATCTTTCCTGATGGTTTCTCCTATGAGCAGCGCTTTCTCCTTCATTTCCTCCTCATGACTGCAAGAAAAATGATAACAATTTACTGGTTCAAGTCAGAAGCACCCACAGTTGCCCAGTGGCTTCTGAAAACGGTTTTGTTCATCTACGTTTTTTGATTTAGTGTTTCTATTATTTAATTTTGTATTTCTAGCTCCCCTAGTTATATTTAGTATTCCTGATGTGTAGTTCTCAGTTTTGTTATGGTGCCTTCCCTGTGTTCTTGTATCTCGTTGTCTCACTTATGTTTTCACGTCTGTTATTTTCCGGTCACTTTTCGCCTCAGAGAGACTGTATTTGGGTCCTCTATTCCTGCCTGCCGCACGCAGCCAATGACAAAAGTGACCAATCTTTGTGTTCATATGGATCAGCCTGTCCAAAGAACACTCCTTTGCACCTTCGCTGTATCGTATTTTGGTCTTTTGAACTTCTAATGGATCATCTAGTGGTTTTTTCTCAATGTTTATTAATGTTTTTCTTCCTTCTTACCTGTTGGCATCTGTCTTTGTTTTAGTTTTGTGTGAAGAACCACATGGAGGCATCTACTCAGAATGCACATACAAAGACGGGGAAGTAATTGCTGTAAAGCTGGAAGGTAATCTTGTTGCTGAAGAGGCTATAAGAAGGCTTCAAATGTTCAAAACTCATACTTTAGAAAAAAACCTCTTCACAGAGGTGGAGTTTCACAATATGTGTCCGTTAAGGACTGGGTGTAGCAATAACAACAATCACTGGAAATTACACAGAGCATTAAGTCGACTAATGTCTCTGGCTCTTTTCAGGTCATTATATAGTAAACTAAATGTGTGTATCAGTGGCAGGACAGTGTGAATACCCACTTGCAGGAAGACCTTGAGACGGTCCAGTGGAGCAGTTCCTGTCCGGGACACTGCCCCTGCCATGGCTCCAGCAACCAGCTGCCTCCATACCAAACCTGATTGCCGCTCCCGCTCTGAAAACTCATCAGGCACTGTCAGGTGTTCCCCGATGTCAAACATCTAAAACAACATTAGAAAGGTAGAAACTGTGTTTGTGTTTGCTCGTTCTTTGCCACTGCATCTTGCTAACACATGACTGTTACATAATCTACATCTATATGAGGTATGAATGAAAACAGTGTAGTTCACAGTTCAACTTGATTATGTTTTGCCAAATACTACCAAATATTTTCATCCTAATAACCCATTAGCATGAAATATAAATACTGTCAGGATGTTAACATTTATTAATCATTTATAATCATTTATAACATTTAAAAGTGAAAAAAAAACCCTCCTACATGGGAGTGCTTCCAGTGGTGGACAATTTCCTCCATGTTGTGCAAAGGGTTGAACAGGAAGTGATCACGCCATTCATTCCAGTCAATAGTCATAGTCCCATCTCTGTCCATACTGGGAGACAGAGAGAAGGTTAGGGCCGGTTAATGCTCACTGTTTCTCGAATAAGACGCTCTCGTAACTCATTAAGTGATGCCACTGACCGGCCAATTGGTGCCATGCATTTTAGTACCTCTTCAGATTGCTTTAGAACCCCTTCTGAGCACATACTATTTTAGTATCTGGTACCAGGTATTATTACAGTATCACCTAATGGAAAACCCTGAAAACTGTGGCGAACCATGGCAAGTCGATCCGAGTAGGTACTAATGGAAAAGGGGTTTAAATTAAAGCTCCAGGCCCTTGGCTGCATCAATTCCAGGGTCCTGAAGTCCTGTGATGCCCAACCATCTGCCCCCTGCAGTATCTCTTCAACCTAAGTTTGTTGCTGTAAAAGGTGAAGACATTATACTATGGAAGACGTTATGTTTAGTACTGGTACCGAAGAAAGCCATTCCTTCTGGCCTTAATGACTTCAGACCAGATGCCTTGATGTCACATGTCATGAAGGTGCTAGAGAGTGGTTCTTGCCCATCATATCTTGCAGGTGAAACATCCCCTGACCCCTTTCAGTTTGCGTACCACCCTCTTGTGGAGGTGATTATCTACCTCTTTCAGCATGCTCACTCTTAACAGGATGGTACTGGTGGCATTTTTAGAATCATGTTTTTTTTTCCAGTGCCTTTAATACCATCCAACCACTTCTGATAAATAATAAGCTGCTCAGGATGGGCCTCACCACTTCTATTGTCTCCTGGATTGCTGACTATCTGTCAGAGAGCCCTTAATTTATAACACAATTTGTACCACTGTTTGATGTGGTGGTTAGTAATACTAGGGCACCACAGGGGACAGTCCTGTCTCCATTCCTGTCCATCTCAAATTTCCATTACAAGACTGAAACATGCCACCTGCAGAAGTTCTCTTATGACACTGCAGTGGTTGGATGTATTAAGAAGAAAGAAGAAATCACCTCCTTCTGAATTTCAGCAACACAAATGACATGTTGGCTGACTTTCGGAGGAAAAAAAACACTGCAACTAGGCCCATCAACATGGCGAGTGAAGAGTTGGAAAACGGAGACGGCTACAGGTACTTCACCTGACTGGAGGAACCAACAGTGTACAAGATGCTGTACAAGATGAGGATGAGCAGACTTTACTTTCTAAGGATGCGCAGATCCAATAATGTATGAGGCAAGTTGTTGGAGGTGCCATCTGTTTGACATCATTCCCTCTCACCTGTTTAAAACAAGTCTTTCATGTAATTCGGCCATCAAGATTATAAATACTTGTTTCAAGACGGGGACTGTGCCACCCTACTTTAAGCAGGCTATGGGCAGAAGACCGGGAGTCATCTGCCTTTGGTTCCACCTTCTCCTTCTTTCAGGAGAAAAAAGGCCTCCCGCTGCTGCCACGTCTCCTAGCCAGAGGCAGCTTCTCTGCCCACATCTGCGAATGGCAGATGGACTGGTTCCTATATGGTGGTTTTCTACTCTGAGCACTCAAAGCCCTCCAAAGCAATCCAAGGCTTGCCAAATTACACCTTCACTCCGGTGGTATAGGAGGCCAGTTGACCCTGATCAACCCGAGCCTTCCAGCTCAACACAGGCCTGTTTTTAATAGATTTTTCCCATGGCTTTCCACACTTTCAGATGACAGTGTGAAAAACAGGTCAGCCCCAACAAGCCTCAGGTGAATCTGACTGGCAGCAGCCCAGGAGTGAAGCTCCCAAAGACCTGCTTCTCTCCAAAGCCGACAAAGTAGTACAAAGAAACCAGCTCTTTTCCCCCGCTTCCTCTGACGAAGCCTCCTAAGCAAAGGCGAAGTGCTCAAGCAGCGCTGGAAAAACAACCTCGTTTTGTTGACTCTGAAAATTATCCATAGCAGATTTTATCAGATGCATCATATATTAAAAGGGAGATGACAGCGGGCAAAACTGTACCAAAAATACTTGCACAATATGTAAAATAAACAAACACATAGACAGAGGCAGAGGCACAGCCAAACACAGGTGCCATCTTGCAACCCAAGTCCATTAATATTATTTTCTTTTATTGTGCACTTCTTTTTCACTGTTAGTAATATTTTGATATTAACACTTCATCATCCTCTGATTACAGCAGTCAAGTAGCTGCTTTTCTAAATCCTTACTATTACGTGCACTTTTTGTGTCCTAAATCCCCTCATGTGCTAACCAGCTGTATGCCAGCCTTGTCCCTGGGCCCTTCTCCAGTTGGAAACTCACCTGAAAGTTCAGTTCTATCACTAACTGCTACTGATTGTTTAAGATGCGGCCTTCACAAATGCCACTGCCACAAAATCTTTGGCTTTGTAAATAAACTCCCTTAATCCTTTAGTGCCTCAAAGCTAATCCTCCGACTTAGCCAGTTGAGTTTAAATCATTTATGTAGTTTTAACCTTTTTTATACTGGAAAGTAGGGCAAGCACAAGGGAGATAGAATCAAACCCAGACACCTGTAGACTTTTGGCATATGAATCACCTGCTCAACCAAGTCAGCTACAATGGCACATGGTGTAAAATCTGACTCTCATATTTGAACTATGTGCTAGGAAATGTATTAAATTAAAGATCAAATTAAATTAGATCAAATAATTACGATTTTTTTGTTTTGAATATTTTATACATTGTAGCGCATTTGTTTTATTTCCTTAATAATAATAATAATACATTTTATTTATAGGCCACCTTACAGTAGCACGTAAACAATACCATAAAAAACATAAGAAAAATGTATATATAGCAAACATGGTAGATAAAATTTAGACATAAACAGTCATAAAAGTATAAAAGCAAATATAAAAACTGAGCAAGGTAAAAATGGCCTAAGACAGATCAGGTGTATGCAATTCTAAACAGATGGGTTTTGAGTAGTGATTTAAAAGTGGTGAGACAGTGTGTGGTCCGTAGAGCAAATGGAAGTGCATTCAAAAGTCTCAGGGCAGAACAACTAAAGGCTCTGAGTCCCATGGTAGTCAGGCGAGCAGGTGGAACTGACAGAAGGGAAGTTGAAGAAGAGCGGAGTGTACGAAGGGGTGAGTATGTATGGAGAAGATCGGATAGATATGGAGGAGCAAGGTTATGAAGCGCTTTGAAAGTGAGAAGCAGGATCTTGAAATTGACACGGAGGTGAATTGGGAGCCAATGGAGCTGTTGAAACCATGGAGAAGACTTGACTGTAATAGATCACTGTGTAAAGAAATGCAAACAAAATCAAATTTCCATTTCAGACATGGTACCTCTGCAGTATTTTGGAGGCCTGTTCCATGGTAACCTCCACTCCAAGCTTTTGTAGTGAGTGCTGGATCTCCCCCACATCAATTTGCCCTACCAAACACATCAGAGAGTACAAACAGCATTGGAAATTGGGGCCTGTAAAGATTATATTTATGGGCGGGGTAACTGACAGAACTGGTGTATTTACTGTGTCTTAAGCATGCACACACCGTCATTGTTGTGGTCCAGTCTGTGGAACATGAGCCAGAGTCTTTTCTCGTGAGTCTGGAGGTACTGAGAAAACTCCTGGAAATCCAGCAGACCATCATGGTTGGTGTCGCTCTCAAGGACTATCTGTAAGTCCAGAGAAAGAGAGAAAGCACAGAGTAAACAGGGAATTAAAGCTAAAAAAAAAAAGGCTCAAATTAGGATGTGTTCACAATGTAAATGACATGGGGCAAACGGTGGGATCAGGGAGTGTAAATAGTGAGGAGAAGAGAGTTGAAGTCAGCCAGTCCATTTCCATTGTCCTGTCTACCATGCTGGATTCACAACCACAGAGCACAAGGAGCCACGGTGAGTTTATTTCAAAACTTTGTTCAGTATATTAACAAATACAATACAGACACAGAAATTCCTCATTAGGAGCAGCAGCAAGAATCAGACTGAACGGCCATTTTAGCTAACGTAGCTAACCGTAAAAGTGCTAGCTAACTAGCTATCCAGGAAATACACACTAATCAGTGTACTGCCCTGACATTAGTGCTGGTAACTAGCAAATTTCACTGAATCAGCAAAAATGATTTAAACACAAAAAAAGACAAAGAAAGAACAACATATTATTCTCAACTGCAACAAGTAAAACAGTAAAATCTAGATTATTAAACCTTAAATCTCTCTTTTCTAAGTGCCCGTTAGCACATCAATTAATAATTGATTAACAAATCTTACAGAAACCTGGTTACAGCATGATGATTATGTTAGTTTAAATCAGGGGTGTCCAAACTCCGGCCCGCGGGCCAACTGCAGCCTGCGATCCATTTTTAATTGGCCCGCAAGTAATTTTATAAATAGAATAGAATATGGCCCGCACTTCAACTTTTGCTTGAGTGTATTGCACTTCTTAGTTTTAACACCAGGGGGAGCTACTGTCGATCAAGGCAGTTGCTCCACCAAAAAGGACAATCACAGAAGAAATTTACCCCAAGTTAGTTACAAACATGGCAGAACCAAAGAAGCGAAAGGTAGAAAGTGAATGCAGAAAATTTCAGACATGGTGGGAGAGTGAATATTTCTTCAAAGAATTCAAGTTGAAGTGTGTCTGTTTGATCTGCACTGAAATTATGGCAGTTGTGAAAGAGTATAATGTACGACGTCATTATGAAACCAAACATTAGGCCTATGCATCCTACACTGGTGCTGAGCGAGAGCAGAAATTAAAGCAAAGGGTAGCTCTCCTGCGGGGTCAGCAACAGCAGGGCTCGCAAAATTTCAAAATCCCTGGTAGCCCTTCGGGCAGGGACTCTTCAGTTTTTGGTAGCCCAAAATAAATTTAAGTAGCCCGAATAAAAAAGAGAGCAATTTTTTTCATTGATGCTTTGTTTCCTGTTTTGTTTCCTTTACAATATTATACATTAAAGTATAATATTGTAACGGAAACAAAACAATCAAAAAAAACACAAATTACAACATTGTATAAAAATTACAATCATCAACTCAAATACTTGGTTCTAATTGAACAGAAATTTCTATGAACTTGTAAGAACTGTGTAGGAGATGAATCAGTCTGTGTCAGATCCTGAATTTGAAATTTCCACTGAAGTCACAGGTAAGAGGCAAGTGGAACCAAGATCG